GGTCAATATCAGATAGCAAGAAAATGGAAGAGAAGAGGTTTACAACTGTGATGGTATTGGGAATGGTAAAACATCCATGATGTCCATTTTGTGTACCTTCACATATTTTGAAGGTATCATGAAGAGGAGGCATGGGGGATACTACCACAACACTGCTAGAGACCAACAATTCTCTAATATAAAATACAAAAGCATTCCAGAAACCTGGGACTGAGCGCTAGGCATCAGCCATCCCAGGTGACAGCTGTAATCAGTAGAACATGGGATGATCTTGTACCAGGGACATGCTATTCACATACACAAAGGACCCAATCCTGTAGTCCTTGCCTTCAGCGGGAGTTCTGGGTACATGTGCACGGAGATTTAATGCGTGTAAAACTTGTGATTGATTCCCATTCCTGTCTTTGACTTTGCAAATGGCTACTAGCATAATAAGTGTTCATGGGATTAATAGCTTACTTTAAGTTTGCTTGTTTTTAATAGATGGACTGGATCTCAGTGATAAAGGAACCCCATCACGATACTGCTGGAAAAAATATTGCCACAGATGCTACTCACAGCATCACTAAGCCACTCACAGTACAGATGATGCTCTCTCCAGTTACTCACACTATTTCCTCTGTTCTTTTGAAGAAAACTGCTCCATTCCTTCCCTTTACTTGGGAATAGCTACTTCCATGAGGGGAAAAAAAATAACAATCCTTCTTATTCCTAGCAGTTTATAACTGTAAAGCATTCAATAAACAGCAACTGTTTAAAAGGCAATCTTATGCCCCCTATGAATTCAGGAGGAAAATACAATCTGACAGATGGGGGAAGCCAAAGCAAGAAAAAAAACACTGATTTGACAAAGGTCAAAACAGCAAGGAAGTACCACAACTAAGATAAAACCATGAACTCTCATGCTTTGATCCAGATGGTCAAGCTGCCTCTCTAAACTACATAGTCCCAAAGAAATGTCGACAAAGATATTTAATCTTCATGCAGGGCTGCACAGTTTTGGAACATGCAGTGTTAAGGACTTGCAAGAAGACCAAAAGCACATTCTGGTGTAAAAAATGATATGAGATTCTAATCTTTGATAAAAGCACTTTTTAAAACAGAGAGAATGCCATATGTGTACAGCTGTCTGAGAGAAGAGAACAAAATAGGTTTATTTTGGGGAAAGGAGGAGGAGGAGTACTGGGACAACTAGTAGGGACTCTCTGAAGTCAGTATCTTGATGTCTGCCTTTATCTTTTTGGTGTCTGCACATATAACAAAATGCAGGCTTGAGTCTCTTTGATCATGGGGATTTTTACTTGTTCAGATTCATTATACAAAAGCTATATTTCTAAATATAAATGGAGTTAAACCCATTATAAAAAGGGTACCAGAAGATGTCAGTGGGGGTAGGGAAGAGGGTATGGTTTAACTTCTAGTCTAAATGGAGAGAAATTGTATCTTAAGGTATCTATAAATGATAGTCAGAGTCAAATGTTAAACCTGTCCTCACTCTTACATCTACTGGGCCTTTATAAATAAGCCCGATACATCAACCTCCCCATCCACAATCCAGTCCAACCCTAGAAGCTCTGCTGAACTACAGAAGTTGAGGTGAATCTACCCCCACTTACCTCCTACCTCTTCCCTTCCTGCAGCACATATAAAGCCAACCCAGACACAGGTCTTGAGCTTAAGGGAGTCACCTGGGGTGCATCTACATGTGTTGGTATGTTGATGTTGTTACTGCACATGATTAGTACTACCTTTTGGAACTACAAAATCATGGTGCAGTAACAGCCCATACTGTGCCATATGCGTGGCGCACAGTTATTTTTAAGCAGCTACTACGCCATATCAGCACGCTATACCAGGAGAGGACATCACTACGGTGAAGTAGCTGCTGGTCACATGTAGACACCCACAGATGCTACGTTGCCATAACACATTGCTACGGAGATTTAGCGTCATGTGTAGATGCACCCCTGGTGACGTGAGGTGACACCTGGCTGGACGGCAGCACTATAGAAAATGATTTGGGAATCTCGGTAGATCCCAGACTCAGTACGAGTCTGCAGTGTGATGCAACTGCACAAAAGGTGAATACGGTTTTGGGGTGCATCAACAGGAGCAAGATGTGGGAGGCAACAGTGCCTCTCTACTCAGCACTGGCTAGGCCTCATCTGAAGCACTGTGTCCAATTCTGGCCTCCACATTTTAGAAAGGGTATGGAGAAGTTGGAGAGGGTTCAAAAACAGGCAATAAAGATGGCTTAGAAAGAAAGTCATATGACGAGAGACTGAAGGAGATAGGTATGTTCAGCTTGCAGAAAAGGTGCTTAAGAAGGGAAATGATAGCAATCTGCAAATACCTGAACAGCTACCATAAAGAAGGAAAGCACATTTTCTCTCTAGCTGCAGAAGAAGATGCAGACCAATGGCTGAAAGTTACAGCAATGTAGGTTTAGATCAAATATCAGGAAAACCATCTTCACTGTTAGAACAATAAGGCAGTGGAACAGACTGCCTAGGGACGTTGTGGACTCCTGAGATGTTCAAGAGGAGGTTGGACAGCCACTGGTCATGGATGATTTAGCACAGGTATGCCTATGGGTATTTCCTATGCTTCTGGGCTTGGCTGTTGCTCCTTCCCAGCTCTTTCTGCTATATGTTTGAGAATGTTTCTAAGCCTTCCTCAGAGGCATTGGCTATAGCCAATGCTCCAGCTGGGACCAAAGCCAGAGGTTCCTGGCTAGTGAGTCTTTCCCCTCCACTCAGGTTCAGACTGAGCACCATAGTTAGTATTGGGAAGGAATTTTACCCCATGGTCAGACTGGTATGGGCTGTGTGGGTTTTCCCTTCCTCTGTATTTGGAGGGGGGAGGAGGTCATGGCCCTTTACCTAGGATCTCTTGAACATATATTGACAACATTTAATAGAAGCCATAATTGACTGCCATGGCTCCACTGCTTTACCTGTGGCAGGTTAGGGTACTAGCTCTGTGTCATGTCAGGGTTGATGGTAGTCTGCTGTAGAGATTATATTATGGAGTGTACAGGATGGTTTGGATAGGGATGATCCTGCCTCAGGCAGGGGGGGTGGATTAAATTAGTGGTTCTCAACCTTTTGTTGTTCCGGGACTCATCTGTAAACATCAAGGGCCAGTTCTGAGGCAGTAAATAGTTTAAGTAGAAAATAGCCCCCTGCCCCTTTTGGTAAGGGCACCAGCACTCCCAACCCACAGCCCTCCACCCTCCCTCTGCCCTGCTTTTGCCCCTCTATCCGGACCTGCTGCTCCCTGCCCCCAGACCTTCAGTGTGGGGACATATGCCCCCTAGATTTGGGTGCCTACAACAGGCAGGAGCCATAGCCTGACTGGACCAGCATGGGCAGGAGCCACGCCCATGATCCAGCAGGCGGGAGACAGTGCAGGAAGGTGGAGCAGGGTTATGAGACTAGTTGCTGCTGCCACTGCGACCAGCAGGACCCCCATGCCAGCTGTGCTGCCAGCAGGGCAAGGAGTAACAGACTGGGGGGGAACTTGTGCTGACCTCACCTCTTCCTACTGCCAGGCACTCATGCACCAGGCTGTGACTGTAACCTGCTGTCATGGCTCGGCCACTTCTGCTCTTTCTGGCAGCAGAAGCCACAATAACAGGTCTTGCAACTCCACTCTGCCCTCCTGTGCTGTGTCCCACCTGCTGGGAAGCAGAGGCAGCTGCTGCCTGTTCTAGTCTGGCCAGGCTGCAGCCTCATGTCCACTGTGGGTGCATAAATCTGGGGAGGGTAGGAGAGGGCAACATGCATCCCTCCCATGCATCACCTGTGCTGCCCCCTTCCCCTTCCAACACTGTGCTTACACCCCACACCCTTACCTACCAGGAGCTGTAGGTTCTGCTCTCCATACCACCTGGCTGCCACATGCATGTGTGCGTGTGTACATGCATGTGGTGGCCCCTGCCTGATCACCCCCAGCCCTAAGCAGCCCCTTGCAGGCTGGAACTCTGCCAATCTGTAAGGGGAAACCTGTGGTTCCCACATTTTTGTCCTTTAAAAAAAAGGAGAAAATTCATTTTATTTTCTGCACTTTTCTTGTGATTGTTCGCAACCCTTTCATATATTCTTGCAACCCAGTTTTGGGTTGAGAAACTGGACTAGAAGATCTCTGGAGGTCCTTTCCAGCCCTACTTCTCTGATACCAGCAGCCACCCCAAAGTGTTTTGGCCCTGATTTGAGTGCCTTCTGTACCCCAGTTCTAGTCTCTACTTCCTATAAAGGATAGAATCTGCAGATGTATTCCTCCACTCCTTCATACAAAGGCATACAATGCCCAAGGCTTTAGTAAGGGCAATAGCTCACATATTTTAGACAGTATTATATAAAAATTGACAGTGTACCCCCATCTTGATTGTTGTATGCATTTCTGATATCACCTCTCAAAGAAGTGAAAGTAGGCTTAGAAAAATATACAAAAAGGGACAAGATGATCAAGGGTATGCTTTCATATGAGGAAAGACTAGGACTTATCTGCTTGGAAGAGGCAGCTTAAGGAAGGAAAAAAAAAGACGTGTAGAAATAATCAAAAACAAATCCAGTTCACTGTATCTCCTACTACAAGAACTGGTGACCGCCTGATCAAGTTATCAGCCATCATATTTCAAAAGCTCCCTTACAAACTTGAACAGAGTGTTGGAAGCTGTGGATTGTTGCACTGCAACCTTTGAAACAATCCAGTACTTAAGACCAGTAGGGAGGCAAGTGGTTACTGAGAGGGTGTGCTGACTAATGAGATCTCCAGTTGGCCGAGCCCCCACCATCTTCAAACATGCATCATGTACATTCACATGCTCACTGTCAGGCCTAAACACATTTCATTTTATGCATGTAGTAACTAGGTTTAAACATCTGGGCCCAGGTTACCTTAAATTAGGATACAGATGAATAGCAACTTCTCTCTGGAATGAGAAGTCATGTTTTTCCTTCTTAAAAGCTGCAGCACATAAGACAAAGAATCCCCCCAACCTTCTGCACAAGTATTTATTTCACAGAGATCAATAAAAGAAGCACACTTAGAAGCAGTTAAAGAACATACATTAAAAATAAAAATCAAGAGTCTGTAGGCATGATAAATTAACAGTTATGGAGGAAACCCATCCCAGAGGTAACAAACTTAACAGCTACTAGAATTCCTGTGACTGGCCATCTTTCTGTCCTGGACCAGAAGATTTTGTTTTCTTGGGAAGAAGCTGGGAGAGGATATTGGGCATGACCCCTCCTTCAGCAATGGTCACACCTGCAAACAGACTATTCAGCTCTTCATCATTCCTTACTGCCAGCTGGATGTGTCGTGGCCCTATCCTGCTTCTCTTGTTTTCACGTGCAGCATTTCCTGCCAGTTCCAATATCTCAGCACTCAGATATTCCAGCACTGCAGCCAGGTACACTGGAGCTCCAGCACCAATTCTCTCAGCATAGTGCCCTCTTCTGAGTAGCCGATGCACACGGCCAACTGGGAATTGCAGCCCAGCTTTTGCAGACTTGGTTTTCTTTGACACAGCTGGGGATTTCACATTTTTTTTTTCATGTCCGGACATTCTGGTATCAATCTAGTCCAGAAAAGGAGGAAGAGAGCAGTAAAAACCATTAAAAAAGGGCACTATTACAGTATCCCCATATTTAAGCTATAGAGAAGGAGAAGAAGGTGACAAGATTAGATATGCATTTTACTTTCCCCTCACATTCCAATACAGTACCTTTAGTTCTTCTTCTAAGATAACAATCCTGATCTTTAAAAGGAGGTTCTCTCACCAGTAATAGTTTACTAGATTAATTGCTTAGATCCTTCTTCTGAAGAAAGATGTCCAGAGTCAGGTAGTTGCTTAGAAATTCTCTCAAGACCTAACCCCAGCCTATCATTTAAAACATATTAAAGACTCTTGATGACTTTCCTGTGCAGCAAAGAGAGAAAGCAAGTCTGCCACCTAACAAGGCTCTGAAACTTTTGGAAAAAGTAAAGCTTTGCCTGGGGATAACATTGTCAAGCAATGTATCTGCTTCGGAATGAGCAAGACCCTAAAAGGATCAAGAAAGGCAAGACAAAGCCAGCAACATGGCCTCATCTGCTGTCTTGGAATACCTAGACAGTTGAGGAGGCTTGGAAGAGTGTTGCCTTAAATATCATGAAGGAGAACAACAGGGACTCTTCCAGGCAGGAAACTAATCAGCGTCCCTCAGTACAAGCTATAAACCCAAAACCAACAAACCAAGAGAAAACTGGTTAGCAATTCTTAGCTAAGAGCAACAGGAGCACAGAATTAGTGCAGTGTGAAAGCCACTTGAGGAAGTTTAATTTTATTGTAAAAGGACTGTTGTAGTAATGTAACAGACCCCAACACAAGTCAAGGAGGAACGGATGTAGCTAGGAGGCGGCGGCTGGGGGGAAAAAAGAAGTACCAGGGCTGCAAAAACCTACTCAAGAAGCTGGGAAAAGTACTGAAGAGAGCTCAGTACAGTTAGCTATTTGTGTGGCTACATGGCTAGCAAGACAACCTCTTTATAGCAACCACAGACAACAGACAAGGTCTGTTGCTATTAACAGAGACAAAGGCTAATTATTAGAAAAATAAAACTGAAAAGGAAGTTCTGTTTAGAGGTGGTAATGAGGGAAGCAAGATACAGGGACAGAACAAAGCAGTCTTACAGAAGGGATTCAGAAGTTGAATGAAGAACCTATTTCTTTCTTATGGCTATGGAGACAACAAGCTCTAGAAAAATGACTCACTTAAAACCAGCTTGGTGCCATATATAACAAATGTAATTGCTTAGTTACTGCTTCAACTATACCACATGAACCACTACAGGAAAAAGGATTAATTTTTTTGACAAAATATATTTTTCCCT